TTATTTATTTATTTATTTATTTATACCCCGCCCATCTAGCCTAAAAGACCACTCTAAGCATATGCATGTATCTCCATAAGCAGTTCATGCAGAGTATGCTGGGACGTACTTGCAAATAAATATACATAAATTTTAAAAAAACAGACATTCTGAAACATAGTTCAGTATACTTGTAATAGAAGCGTTTTGCTTGGTTGCTTATTGTTGACTTTTTTACTCAATTGTTCAAGCTGAAGTTAAGAGTAAAACTGATTACCTTTATAAACTTGCCATTTTATCCACTGTCCCTGCCTCATCTCCTAGCTTTAAAACTGCATATAACCTTGTTTAGACTTCCTACTGTTGCAAGTATATATATTTACAAGGGATCCATGTCCAGGTAAGTCAGGGATCTGTGTGAACCAGACTTATTGGCTGTGAGGAATATGCTTGCACATGATGTTTGATTGCTCTCATTTTGCGTTGTTTGAATGTAGGTGCAGATGCCATTGTGGTCTATTTCTTCCTGAGCTGTCCAGACAAAGATTTCAGAATTTATCTTAAGATTTGCTTGTCCTGTTTATTGATTCAGGGCAGCGGGGGACACTCCAGAGTGGTGGCTATATCCACATTTAAACAACACATTATTGGCAAAATTAAAGAGAGAAGAAGTGGGGGGAGAAGACAAAATATTGTGGCATTTAAAAACTAACAGATCTGTTTCAGTAAACAAATGAAGCAGCAAAGCTCTGTGGTCTGATTTACAAGCAAGAATGATTGCAACACATGTACTATCTCAAGTGCATGTACAAGAATTCCTATGGACCCTTGGCTTATCATGTCATTTAAAAGCTAGCTGGTTTGTGATCAGATGTGGATGTTCCCGTCCTATTCTGAAATGCTGCTGTGAGGTGTTCCCTGTCACTTGAACTATGAGCTTCCTTGGGTTTCAACTTTTCATTGTATTGGTGCTCACTGACCCATGGAAAGGTGGAGCGGTTGCTTCCATTAGTAGAATGGCTCATTACTGTTAGGGGTCTAAACCCAAAATAGACATTTACAGTAAGAGTTCCTTGTAAGCAATGCTAAATTTTGTAATATAAGAAACTGTCATTACCTTGGTGATTTTAGACTATACGTATAAATGCACTTGTTTTCTCTTAGATTTTTCTCTGATTTGGTATATTTAGATTTCCTCATATAAGATTCTAAAAATTGCTTTAATGCATTACAGCTTTATTGGATATTTATTATTTGATGAGAAGTTAAATGAGAAATTACAATAAGTTTCTTTATGCTATAATCCTCTGGCGCCTGGAAAGATTTTCCAAGGGCTGCGAGACTTTTCATATTCTTTCCCTTGGAAGGTTAGAGAAAGATGGAGAAATATAACCTCAGATGACCTCTGTACCTCTACCAGTTCACCCTGGAAATCTCTGTAGTCCACACCTTTCGGATGCAAGAGCTCTAAATTTAGAATAAGGTCAGATCAGGTTGCTTTCTGTGGATGTACCAGGAGAGATTGTCCCATGTTCTGACACATCCCAGAACGGTGAAGGTGGGGAGAGAGAGTTTTGCAAGTCTTAGAACTGATGTAGTTTATTTTGCATGATTCTAAAAATTGTTTTTAGGTATTTAAAGTGTATCAGTGTGTTTTTTTAATCAGCTGTTCAGTTAGACATATAGGGTTTGAGAGTCTTATAGCTTGACTAGGTGTCTGAATTATCTTGGCCTGGATTAATGTAGATCATGCTGAACAAGGTTACTTTGAAGTATGGTGTGACATTTGGGATCATCCTTGCATCCACATGCATGGATCAACTACAGTTGTGTTCAAAATTATTCAACCCCCAATGCTGTAAAGGGGTTTAGGGACTATAGTGTACATTTGGAATTGTATTCAGAATGAAATCCTACAAGGACGTTTTAAAGAACCAAATGCAACTAAAATAACATCAATTGTTTATGTAATACAGTAGTAAATGTTTCTTTTGTGGTTTCTTCATTGCCACAATTATTCAACCCCTTAAAGACTACCACTCTGAAGAAGAGAGGTTCATTCAGGTGTTTTCGATCAGGTATTGAAAACACCTGTGGATGTCCCCGAGCACCAATCAAGCATAATAAGCACCAATTAGGCAGCTTTAAAATGACTGTGATACTCAGCTCCTTCTAGACATTTACTGGTGTGGTAACAAACATGGTGAAGTCAAGAGAATGGTCCAGGAAGACAAGAGAAGAGGTGATTTGTCTTCACAGGAAGGGCAATGGCTATAAGAAGATTGCAAAGAAGTTAAACATACCAAGAGACACCATAGGAAGCATCATTCACAAATTCAAGGCAAAGGGCACTGTTGAAATGCTACCTGGTCGTGAAAGAAAGAGGATGCTGACTTCGACTGCTGTGCGCTACCTAAAGCATAGAGTGGTGAAAAGTCCCCGTGTGACTGCTGAGGAACTGAAAAAAGATTTGTCAGATGTGGGTATAGAAGTTTCAGCTCAGACAATAAGGCGCACACTGCGTAATGAAGGTCTCCATGCCGAGAGGCTGGAAAGCTTCTCAAAAGGTCCTGGAAGGTCGCTATTTCGCCCATGCTGGCCCCGTGGGTGGGGGTAGCGTGGCAAGGGTCTAGAAGGCCCCCTCGGACCCTTGCCATGCTACCCCCACCCCCCCACGGGTCCAGGGGGGGCAAAATTGCCACCTTCTGGGGCTCTTTTGAAGCTTCCCAAGCCTTAAAAGAGCCCAGGTGGCGATTTTGCCCCCTCTGACCCTCGGGGGGGCAGGGTGAGTCTCTAAAGGGTCCTGGAACACACTCTAGGACCCTTTGGAGGCTCACCCTGCCCCCCCACCAGGTTAGAGGGGGCGAAATTGCCACCTTCTGGGGCTCTTCTGAAGCTTTCCAAACCTCAAAAGAGCCCCAGAAGGTGGTGATTTTGCCCCCTCTGGTCTTCAGGGGGTCTGGTTGAGCCTCCAAAGGGTCCTGGGTTGTGTTCCATAAGACAGACCTCTCCATAAGGCTCACCAATTTTTAGGAGAAGAAAACAGATTTTTTTTCCTGTTTTCTTCTCCTAAAAATTTCTTGCGTCTTATGGAGAGGTGCGTCTTATGGAGCGAAAAATACGGTATTTCCCTTTAAAGGGAGAGCTTCCCATTTCTCAAGAATGAGTGGTTTAGGCAAAACATGGATGAGTAAGTCACTTAGCAGTCTTAAGAAATGGAAATCTGCCTTGCCACTCACTCTTGGAGGGGAAAAGTGGGAAAGTTTTGCATTTCTTTTTAATTTTTGAAAACCAACCCAGCACATCAGCAGTGCTTTGAGAGGGCTTGGGGAAAAATATTTTCAAAGCATTCTTGATGTGTTAGCAGTAATGAAAAAGAAATCTAGAATTTCTCCTCCCATGCCTTCCAAAGGCAAATTGAAAGGAAGCTTCCCATTTCTGAAGACTAAGAGGCTTCAGCAAAGGGACAGCCAGCCAGCCACTTTAGTTCAATTGCAGTCCTCACACAGGCTGGAACCAAACCAAGATGGAGAGATCCTACCCTCTCCTTAAAAAATAGACTAGCACCTGAGGGATCCAAATGGTGTAGTCAGGAATGCTCTGGGGGTGGGCTAATTTGCACTGTCACTTACATTGTGTAGTTGCTGAGAAAAGGAGCAAACTAGAGTGGATAAACCTGTAGGGCAAATCCACGTGTAGTCACACCTGATTTGAACCTGGGTCTTCCCATCTTAAGCTGGCACTTTTGCAGGTACTATCCTGATTTGCTAAAAGCCTTGAAAAATTTAGATAGCTCCACTAAGATTCCTGCTATAACCCGAGGAATTTTTGTTTGCTTTCATGACGCTATGGAACTATGTGGACTTCCCTTTTCATTTCAGTGGAACAGACTGCAGAGCTGCTCCTCCACTGAAGTGAATGCAAAGATTCTTAAGAGGGTGAGGCAGCAATTTGCAAAGGCCTCCAGTTTTCAGGACAGTGGAATACATTTTTTGAGGAGGTGCAGCTTTCATGTAAAAATGGTGTTGCAGCAATGCCTCCTGAATGTGCTTCATGTCATTCTTACCGCCTTGGCTCCTTATGAAAGAATGAAGAAAAGTTTAAAATCTTTTAAATAGGACAGGAGAGGAGAGGAGAGGATGCTGTTTTGAACCTGCAGTCAGAATAACTGGAGCCATGTTATGTTAATTCATGCCAATTGGACTGAATGCCAGTGCCATAATTTCAGTTTTGTGGGTTCTGCAGCTGGGATTACTAGTGGAGAATGTTAGATAACTGACCTTAAACATGTTAGTTTATACTTGCAATAAGCCTCTTCTTTTCATAATATTCTTATGAGTTAGCAATACATTGCTAAAATTATATCAAATTGCTAGATCACTATTTTACTTTATTAGGGTAACATGTACTCTGTATTTTAAAAAAAAGTCAAGGAAAATTGCTTATAATAATTTGTGTAAGTTATGCAAGTCAAAGAACCATGTAACCATGTGCACCTTGCTTATCTTGCATGTGTTCCTGTTAGAATGAAAAGGAACAGTGTGATATTATGCTAAAATGTATGCTGTGAGAAGTCTCCTGAGATTGTTCATGTATGTTTCAGGGCTATCCTTGTAAGTCATAAGGGGTAGAAACATGACTTATTCAGACTGGAAGCTGAAGATCTGAAGAAACCCAATTCTCTGTTTGCCTGATACACAACATGGTCTTGGTTATTAACTGGTTAAATCAGATGACTTTCACTTTGCATTCAGTCAAGCACAAGCTGAAGGAGAATAAAACTGGTTCTGGCTAAGCCTTCACAAAGAACACAAGCTATTATTGAATTTGAGTGGAAGGCATCTTTTTGGTGGTACAGTGATCTATTGTTAACAGTAGTATGTAGCATGCTAGCCCATTGTCTGTTGTGAACAAGACTCTATCTTTGTCTGCAAGAGTTTGGGAAGAATATGCATAATCATGTTACTTAGAAACTCTTTTCAAATCAATTTCATTTTCATGTTGTTTTAGAAAATGCTGTGTTGTATCAGAACTACAAAGAAAAAGCTCTGGATATAGATTCTGATGAAGAGGTAGAATTGAAAGACTGTAAATCAAATGAAAAGATAGTTATTGAATACAAACCTCTGAGATCAACATGGAGTCAGTTGTCTGCGGTAAGTGTCATAGTGTTACATAGCCTAAACTCAAATTGGAATGCAGCATGGCCTGTGAGGAGGTGTCTTATCTTCCAGTGCCTGGAAGATAATACTACTGTGTGAGCTTGAGATTTTATAGCCTTCCCTTTGCTTCAGAACTACCTATCAAAGTGAAGTGTTAAAGATATGTAGATAGTATTCAGTACTTATAATTGATAAAGAGGCAAAGTTGCTTTATCTGTGTTTTTAACTTGGCTTGACTCATCGTTTTTGTGCAAGCAGAACTGCTCAGGTCAACTGTATTAAGACTTTAGGAACCACCGCCTTTCGAATTTGATTGTGGAGGTATTAAAATTGTATTTTAATAAAAAATAGCCATATGAAGAGAGGTAATGAAAATACTGTATGTACCGTGAAAATGAAGAGGATGAGCAAAGTGTTTGTTTGTGTTAACACTGTTCTATAGGAAACATATTTTGGTCTCCCAGTTTGCCACTGCATACAATGCACTGTCTTCTTGTAGATCTTGGCAATAAGGAGTCTGTTTGAGCATGTGTGCTGTGCAACACAAAGAGCTGGTGGTGCTTACCATTAAAGAACTATGTAGTTAAGGGCCAAGGTGCCCAAGATAAAGGTTTCTCCCACACCAGCCTGCTTATGCAGTAAGATGTTAGCACAAAAATCCTCATGAGTGCCCCATCATGAGATGAGAAAGCTAGCAGCTTAGAACAGAGCCTGTTTGAATGTCGTACCTCAACTGTTTATTTTCTTCTCAAAAACACTGTCCCAGCTCATTTACTGATTACTTTTAGCAACCTAATAAAGGGCTTTTCTTGTTCTTTTTTAAAAAGCTGTTGGCCTTTAATAACTGCTGAAGTTTTTTTAGAGGGTTACTGTTGCTTTATTGTTTTGTTTTTATAATAACATTGTAAATTGCATTGGAACTTTTTAATGGAGAAATATATGTATGTGTGTATACACACACACACATTGATTAATTACATATAATTTGAGGGTTTGTCTAAGTGCCACAGCCATACTAAGTGCCATACTACTGTAAAGTTTTATCAGTAGATCCTATTGTTTCAGTGGTTAGAGCATAACTTCTCAAAACTCTGTTATTGCATTGTCTTTGTCTGAGTGTAAGGCTAAACCATATTCTAATGCAGTGTGAAAGAGCCTGCCTGAATGTCAGGTTTTTGGGTTTCTCATTCCTCTGTCATCCTGCAGTGCAAACCATACAAGGAGGGTGAGACACCATCTTCTGGTTTATAATAACTACTATCGATTTCCTCTTCTGTCCATACTGAGAATGCTGATTAATATTGTGTTGAACCTGGATCAGAAACCAAGAATTTCTTCCTGTCCCACTCCTGATGCAGCCTCTTTGTAGTATCAGAAACCTGTTCCAATTGTACTTTTAGCTCTGCGGAGTCTACTTTTAAAGTATACAGGTAACTACAGGAAGGATGTGGGTGAAGGGATCACCAGTTCTGATGGAATCAAGCAGCAGTGCATCTTTGAATCCTGGTCTATGGTTTAATTGTGGATAGTTTTAATAAACTGTCATTTAATAAGAGTTTATGCTAATTCGGACATATTGATAAACTTATTTGTGTTTTATCTCCTGTAATATATGCTGGAGGAAAGGTCAGGACTCCATCAAGAGTTGTATTTTTATGGTACTATGTTAAGTCTTATTTTTGGGACTACATACTTATGCTCAAAAATTAAGTTGGATTTATGTTTGGTTTCTGGCCATTTCACAGAGCAGGTCTTTTTTGTTTGTTTGCTGTAAAATGGAGTTGCTACCCACTAATACTACAGAACAAAATGCTATCACATGGGAAGTAGAGCTGTAGTGAATGGCAGCACCTCGCCCTCCTTGTTTTTTGAGATCCGTATGATCCATGATAGGTCTTGTGAGCAGAAAATTTGGACATTGGACCCTCTGAGATTGTCCATCACTAGATTAGTATGAATGTTTGATATGGGCTGTTATCTCAGAATTACTGCATTTGTACCATTAGTTCCCATGCTTTTCTGTTGGGGAGGGTTGTCATAGAAAGTAGGTATGTCATTATTAGCCTTTGTCCACGGGTCACAGATATATTGTCCATGTGATGTTTCCAGGTTCAACATTACTGTACCAGCAATAATCATCATGCTATTAAGATAACAAGGGGCAATCATAGGATATAGCATAGATTACCTTTCCTGCAGTTGCACAGATACATAAATAAACAAATCTCCTGAGCTGTAACAGGTCAGAGTTACCTTTTCTTGGTTGTGTACTGTAAGCAGCTGTTGTTACAAGTACCTCTTATTTAAAAACTTAAATAAGTTTGAAGTTGCCTGCTTAGATTTGATTTTAATATTAGACAGTAAAATTCCATACTAGCAGTTTTTGCAGCACCAAGTACAAGAAGAATTCAAGTTATGGCTTTTGAAGAAATGCACCCTTCCTCTGCAAAAAATATTTTTAGAATGTAATCTTTGTAACAAGACACATTTCAAAAATGGGGACAAGTTGCTGTTTTATAGTGCATTGTTTCTGAATACGGGATTAAATTCCATTGCCGAGAAGAGAAATTGGATATCAAAAACATAGTTGATGAGTAGGGTGCAATGAATCCTTTTAAACCTGCCTTGGTTTTAAGTTTTTTTGGAAGAAAACTATTTGCTTGGTTCTGTTGCCATAGGAGGCATGTCTGCTGGGAATGGAAGAGAGGGCTATCTTGGTGGGTCAGGGCTGGATCAGGATCTTTAGAGTCCGTAAGCACTGAAAAGATTATGGTGCCCCCTATGAATGTTTTGTTTGTTTGTTTGTTTTATAGGCTACCTTTCTCTCTATAAGGTGGGTCCCACAGTTTGAAATAAAAAAAATCCTATGTAACACATACATTATATGCATGAAACTATGGTAATTTAATTGTATTGCATGTGGCCAAAAAGTACCATGTATCATATACAAAACCATATGTATAATCAAATCATTGGCTTCTAACCAATTCTTGTGCTTTTGCACTTTGATTAATTTAGACAGATTTTAAAAAGGGGGTGTGTGTAGCGGGCCACTCTGCAGCCTCTACCAATACAGGCCTCCCTAGAGTGCTCACTACTCTTCTTCTACTGCTGCCACCAAAGTTTATTCAGTAATCAAAAAGGACAAGTGTTTCGTCTAAAACAAAAACTGTGTTTATTGATTTGACAAAATAAAAGGAGTGAATCACAGGTAGTAAATCAAGTTGTAAATCAAGTTTCTCATTTAATGTACCTCACACAGACTTTTCCCTCACTGACTAACTCTCACCGATCTATCTCACTCTCTCAAACAATTTATCTCATCTCTTTAAACTCTCAAAACTCCCTCACACATCACACACACCCCTTATATAATCCAGCTCCTCCCCCTTGTGCACCACCCTCCGTCCTCTCATTGGCTGATGTTCCCCTGCCCAGCTGTGACGGACAGGTGAGAGCAGAGCTGTATGTTACAGGGAGGTATGCCAGTGGTGCTTCAGGTTAAACTGCTGAGACACTGGGCTATTCATCAAAAGATCGGCAGTTCAAAACTGCGCAACAGAGTGAGCTCCTGTTGCTTGTACCAGCTCCTACCAACCTAGCAGTTCGAAAGCGTACAAATGTGAGTAGATGAATAGGTACCACCTATTTGTTTACAGTTCTGTGGCTTTTATTGAAGAACTGAATGCTTTATGAGAGGGTAATGTGCCTGGAACAGAATGATTTGAGTTGTTCGAATGCAAGGAAGTTACCGTATTTTTCCATGTATGAAACGACATTTTTTCCTAAAATTGGGAAAATTGAGGGTTGTTTTATACAGTGTGCTTGGACGCCGCTTGCTGCCATTGCTGCTGCTACTCAATTGCCTCTTCCAGAGCTCACGGCTTCTCCCCTCCAGTAACCTGGGCAGCAGCAGCAGCGGGAGGAGGTGGAGACAGAGGCGGAGGAGCAATCACACCCACTTGGGCACCTCTTGCTGCTGCCTCCCTCGCCTGCCCGATCACCACCTCCAGTGGGACTGATGGGGCTCAGCTCAGTCGCCGCCTTGCTCCCTCCAGTGCAGGAGGCAGCAGGAGGCGGAGGCAAACAAGCACTTGCATATGCTTCCTGTCGCTGCCACCGGATCACCTCCTCCAGTGATCGTCTCCTACTGCCACTGGATCACCTCCTCCCGTGATTGTCTCCTTAGAGCAGGGGACAAGGTGGCAACATGAGCTGGAGGTGAACCCCAGCAGTCACACTGGAGGTGGTGATCAGGTGGGCAGTGAAGGCAGCAGCAGCAGGAGGCGGAGGTGGAGGAAGAGTTGCCCATTAACTGCCCCTCTGCCTCCATCAAGGGTCAAAATTAGGGGGTCATTTTATACATTGGGGGTTATATAAACGGAAAAATACAGTATCTCAGCTATCGGCTGAAATCCAGTACAGTGGTGCCTCGCTTAACAGGCACCCCGTTTAATGACGAAATCGCATACCGACAAACTTTTTGCGATCGCTTTTGCGATCGCATTGCAATGTTTTAAATGGGGAAAATCACTTTGCGATGATCGGTACCCTGTTTCGCTTACCGATTATCGCAAAGCAATGATTTTCCCCCAGCTGATCGGCGGTTCCAAAATGGCCTCTGGGTAAAAAAAAATGGCCGCCCGCTGTGTTTAGGGACGGATTCCTCGCTTACCGGGCAGCGAAAATAGCCGCCGTATGGAGGATCTTCGCTTAAAGGTCAGTTTTAAGCCCATAGGAACGCATTGAAGGGGTTTCAATGCATTCCTATGGGCTTTTTAAAATCGCATAGCAACGAAATTGCTTTGCAGCGATTTTTGCTGCACCGATTAACGTCGCTATGCAAGGCAGCACTGTAGTAAGTCGTAACTTAAGTAGCCCCACTAAATCAGTGGGGATTCGGTGAATCCACTCCTCTGTAAGTCCCGTTGGTTCAGTGGGCCTACTCTAGTTAAGTCTTATTACTGGATTTCAGCCATAGGAATAAAAACCCT